AATTGGAATACCAGGATTCGGCATGTTTCATATTATTGGAAAGCATTTATTGTATGCTTTTGGTAAATTCGTATGAAAAAAATATTATGCATGAGCCTAGGTCTCATCATTCCTGGGGTTTTTAAAGTGCCAAATCATTTTCAGGTCCAAGCATAACATTTCCATTAGCAAGTTTCTCAGTGCCTTCTTATCAAGTGAACGTTTCCAGTTTTAAGGGTGTGGGCACATGGATTCAGAGAGCGGCAATTGGCCCAGTTTCAGGCAGGTATTTACTGAATTAAAATCAGAAAGGAGAGAAGAGAATCCCACCGCAAACAGTAAGGAAAAGATTAATCTACTTGTGACAGACCCTAAAATGTCAGTATTAACGTGAGTGGGGTCAGTTAGGGTTTTGCTATTTTCTGCTGCCCATGTCTGGTTTTATCTGACTGCCTTTTAAATACACACCCTATTCACAGAAGTTTTATGAACAAATTTCCCCCACGCAAATCTATGGTTATGTTTTATTTGACTTATCGATTGAAATTAGAAAGAAGAGGGGGGGGGGGAATCCCGTTGCAAACAGTAATGAAGAGATCTTTTGGCAACCCAATGTGATAGATCCTAAAATCTCAGTATTAACATGAGTGGAGTCATGTAGAGATTGACTATTTTCTACTCACCATGTCTGGCCTTTTGCAACTCTTAACAAAACCTATACCAAGCCAGATTGGTAAAATCAGTTCCTATTTTATAACTGTTTTTGTTACCTGTGTTAATGCCAAAGCCACTACATCCATACCTATGTGTTATGGAGATGACATTCTGAATCCTTCAACTTATTTAAAAAACTAAGCTGCCTTTAGAGTCAGCCTTCTCAAACTTCATCAAAGGATACATTAATTAGACCTGTACTGCCTCCAGCAATCAGCAACATTAGTTCCCACAAACCCCACAAGTTCAGTGAATACAGAGAATCTGCAGCAGTCACTTTTTTCTCAATATAATTTATGATTAGAAATTGCACACGAGAGCCAGGATGTCTCCTGTAAGTGGGGGTGAACAGTCATTCAATCAAGGCTTGTGACAGTTCAGTTATGACTTAAGGTCTTTTCCCTGTTGTTTGATGTCTGCTTTCGTCTCTGTGAGTCAGGCAGTTATCTTGTCAGCCTGCTTTTGACATAAATCTTATTGTCTCCTTAATGTAATATGCATGCATGAAGAAACAAACAACAACAAAAACTGTATTGCTTGAATTGTAGCTGTGAAGCCAGTTTGCCGTAACTCTGGAGGCATTCATAGTAGGTGCACACCAGAGTTGAAATGTAATGAGTAAATATAACTTCAAATGTACCTAAGCATGAAATCTTGAAGACACAAGTCATTTCCAACATGATGAATTGAATAGTCCACAATTTTGTTATGCTGGATGTGTGATGCCACCAAAAAATGGGATTTCTGTGCTAGGGAGCCAAGTCGAGGCAATAAATTCCCCTTGAAGTACAATTACATATTCCACGAGGCATTGTGGAATCCATCCAGCAATCCAGTTAGCGCTGAATTTCAATAAATCTAAAGAACAAATGGATTCCGACAGCAGAGGCAATAATCCAGATTCTTGCTTACGTTTCAAAAAAAACAGCATGGTATCTTTAATGGATAATAATCTTTCTCTTCCCACCCACTTCAAACTCTTTTCCCCCCCACGCCATCCACCACACACAAAAAAAGAGTCTTGGTATGTTAATGTCTAACTAAACTAAAGCTTGCAATTTGACCATGAGAGAAAACAATTGTTGATTAATTGTATTGGATATTTTAAGTACGTATTGTTTTCTATTTTGGTGCCATTATTACGATTTTTATTTGATCTTGAACTTGAAAGCTGAAGACTGCCATTTTTATGAAAATAATAATGAACATAATGGTAATTTCCAAAGTAATATGCTCCGGTAAAGAAATTTAATTTTTATTCAATTTGTTTATTTGAAATATTGCAATCGCATGATTTTAATTTCATTGAAGTTGCTTTTTATTTCTGTGCTGCATACATTACACCATGTCAGTCAAAATAGTTATCTCGGATAGAGAGATTTTTCTTTCTTTCATTTCAGTGAGTAAACTAAGCGGTTAGGAGGAAATGTCTTTAAAATACAATATAACTTTAATGGACTTTTCAGCAAAATTTAGGGTTAAATTGTTTTCAAATGAATTTACGTGCAGTATATATATCTGGATAAGAATCTAGGGGAAGTTCTTATTCTAAAGAAACTTGGTATTGCAAAAGGCCAACAATGTAATTTCTTGTGCGTAATCTCAATTTGGTTTCTGTGAGCAGTTGATTGGTGTGAGGGTTAGGTAATAACTTCTTTGGTGCTGTTTCTCATGGCATTGAGTCTAGTTCGCTGTTCCTAAATTCCCTGTTACATGGAGTCACTTTGGATTAATGTTAGCAGTTGTCAAACTGATGTTGTGGGTTTTACAAATCTGGTTCTGTTGTACTTTATTTTATATTATTTGACTTCTCTTCCCATGTTCATGTGGTGGAAGAAGAAGGTCTTGAGATGGGCCTTGAAGTAAGGAAGCGAGAGGGCAAGGGGAAGGCACTGTTGAATGGTTGATGAGTCACAAATGCATTATTAAATCCTATGCGATGAGGTAGGGAATACGACCCTGGCAGGCGGGATAGGCTGGCAGTAAGTGGATAGGGTCAGCCTTATATAAGGTATATGCCATTAGGGTTACGTTTCACTTGTTAGACCAGGCCCAATTTATCCTCCATGATAAATAATAATCCTTGCATTTGATATAGCACTTTATCACGTCGTTGAGAAGTCTCAAAAGCGCTTCACAGAATTTACACTGTGTATTTTGTGGGAGGCAGTCAATTGCACACCACAGTGTTGTGGATTGAGGCCAGCAAACTCATCACAGACCATTATTTGAACCAATATGCTACCTTGCCTGTCTGTAAGCTGCAGGTCTATCCATTGCACTGTATCATCAGATCTCCAATATCTTTATTTTTCGAGTGGGCGATGAACTGAGTATATCATTTTTTCTGGTATACTAAGAGACATTTTGATTTCATGCAATGGTAGTAATACTGTCAAAGGTTGCATGGAGGAGAGGGGATGTTACCTAGATTTCGTAGATGCATATCAGTTTTATCAGCTGTTGTCATCTACGTTGGAATAACGGCATTATATACTGTAGATGGAACTGGAGAAAGATGATTGTTCAAGATGTGTAAAAAGGATACTGTCATAGTATCTCAAAGGTCTAATCAAACTCTGTGTAGAAGTGAATGTGAGAGATTGCCCTTTAGTATGAAAGTAGCTGAGGGTGAATTTGAGATAGAATCGGTTGATAATTTTCAAGCAACAAAGTCCAAGGAATCTGTCTCGTTGGCAGTTGGTGAACTGCCTTTCTTGCTGCTAAGCTTTCCTTTGTAGGTGGTAACAGGAAGGGGTTTGAATTGACACCTTCATGGAAATTGTTTGCGCTGGTTAGAATCGTTTTTCTGAAACTTAAAAATTGCTGAGTGCGATTTAATTCCACATAAATCTAAAATCTGGTGCTGATTCCATTATGTGATGCATATAGGTTATATAGATGGGATGAAACCATCAAGGGGAATCTGGCCATATTCCCATTGTTGAATGAATATAAAGCCTTGACCAAATAAGGCTCCATATTTATCATTTTCATTTTCAAACAGGGCCAAGAGTCTTCCCCTCCTTACAGGCTTGTTACACACTAAGTGTTGCTGGTTCCAGTCTTCAGCTGACACTGCACAGGGTTAAATGAAAGCCAATGGATAAGATAATCCAAGTGTTGAAGGGAGAAAGTTTTGTGGTTGAAAGGGCCTTTTTTCTTTTTTTCTCTCCTGTTGGTACAACAACTGCAATTCCTAATAAGTATCTCCCAATGGTACCACGTCTCTCTAAGGATAACTGATTTGTTTTCTTCTCCCAACTCTCCTAAAGGTTCCTGCTTTAAACACTAGTCGTTTTGTGAAGAAATACCTGGTCCCATTTGGCACTGACACCCTCCACCTTTAAGAACAGGAACTTGGCTGGAAGGGTGGAATATTGAACATGTAGTTCCTCAATCCAAAAGAAGTGCAGTGCCACTGCTATTGTGTAACTCTCTCCTTTGCTCCTAAAGGGTTTGCTTTGCCCTCCGTAAAGCTATCTTGTAGTTGGCTTCTGCTTAAACTTGGATTCAATGATGATCCAGGGAGAATCTGATACAGAATGAAACAATTAATGTTGCACCAGTTCTGGGCAAGATATACAAGCCGTGTATAAATGTTTTATTGTGTTTGAGCTGAATGTGGTAATCTTGAATCACCTTGATTTTCAGGATGACAAAATGCCAGTTAAACCAGTTACTTTATCAGAAAATGACATAGGACAGACAAATTAAACATTACGTTTCCCAGCACCCTCTGAGCAGTTCCACAATCGTTTTTCACTTCTGCTTCTACACTTTACTGAGGTGATGTACGGTTTAAAGGCATCAATCATGCAGATTTGCTAATGAAATATTTTCAGGTATAAATTTGCTGTGGGCAAGTTGGCTGCCATGTTTGCCTACAAAGTACGCAGTCACTACATGTTGGAGTGAAGTCCTGTCAAGTGCTTTGAGATGCCCTCCTGACATGAAAGACTTCAGATCAAATATAAGGATTATTGTGAATGATCAAATTCAGGTGATCAATTTTGTGAAGTTGAGACTCAAAGGGCAGGCCTACAAGTTTGTAACTCTACCTCCTCTATTGAGATTTTGAGTTTAAACACAAAAACTCAGTTCTATCCATTTTAACTCTTTATTATGAAAGTGTTTCTCTGGCAGAATTATGGATAGGGTTGTAAGTAGGTTTGTTTTGTTTTTTCCACGGATGAAATCTGGTCTCCAGATTTCATTGATAAAACAGGTTGGAAGGAAGCGCTATATTTGATCATTTAGAAGAGCAAAGTTTGGTGATTTATTGATGTGTTGTCCTTTGCTTAAAGGTTCCATTGACGAAATGGAGGAAGGCGAGGAGAATGTAACTGATAGCAGCATGTCCGAAAAAGAAGCAGGTGTTTCAAACCATGATGAATCAACAGATTGTAATACTTCCAACTCACTTCACAGTGAAGGTAATTTGACACTCATCTTTGTCATTGCACTTGATTTTAACATAACATAACATGTAGGAGCAGGAGTAGGCCATTCGGCCCTTCGAGCTTGCCCCGCCATTCAATCATGGCTGATCTTCTAATCTAACTCCAGCTAATACCATAACCCTGCCTTATCCCCATATCCCTTAATCCCTTTTGCAATAAGAAATCTATCTATCTCAGTCTTGAATATGTTCAAGGACTGAGCGTCAACAGCCCTTTGGGGTAGCGAGTTCTATACATTCACCACCCTTTGAGTGAAGAAGTTCTTTCTCAACTCAGTGCGAAAGGGCTGGCCTCTGATTTTAAGGTTGTGACCCCTGGTTTTAGTTTCTCCAACCAGGGGAAACAATCTACCACTATCTACTCTATCATGCCCTTTGATGATCTTATAGGTTTCTATAAGATCCCCTCTAATTCTTCTATATTCTAGAGATAATAGGCCCAAATTGGTCAGCCTATCCTCGTAACTCATCCCCTTCATCCCTGGTACTAACCTAGTAAATCTACGCTGCACCCCCCCAAGGCAAGTACATCCTTCCTTAAATAAGGAGACCAAAACTGCACACAGTATTCCAGGTGTGGTCTCACCAGAGCCCTATACAGTTGCAGCAAGACTTCCCTACTCTTATACTCTAATCCTTTCATAATGAATGCTAACATACCGTTCGCCTTCCTAATTGCTTGCTGCACCTGCAGACTAACTTTCTGTGATTGGTGTACAAGGACACCCAAGTCCCTCTGGACGCTAATACATTCCAACATTGTCCAACAAGTATAAGTTTGTATCAGTAAAAAAAATAGAATTCCAAGCCCCGCAAATTGTGTTGCATCCACTTATTCCACTTGTCTTGGTAGAAGAACCTGTAGAAGAGTAAGTCACATTTCTTAAACATTGTATTATAAGTTATCTGCCTTAATACAAAGTCATTCTGTTGCGAAGACAACATCCTGAAGCGTCCCTCACACTTGTTAAGTTATGATGCATAGTGTAAATATATTACTCAACAGATACTCATTTAGAAATAATGGAAGCATCTAACAAAATTCCTCCAAATCATTTTCCGAAATAGGTAAGCAGGCGGCATCCCTCTGGGAGAGAGTGCACACTCAATTTCAGGCACGCAGAAATGTCCACACTTTGGTGTCTTGTATTTGTGGAACGAGTCTGGTTCAATTCCTTTCACTATTCAAAAAGAGAAGGGAGTTTTTCCTGGTATCCTGGAAGGGAAATCCCCAAAAGCAAATTGGTCATTCACTCACTCCATGGCTATTTTGTGGGACACTGCTGTGCGCAAACTGGTTGCCAAGTTTCACCCATGAAATACCCAGTCACTACACTTTACAGTATATCCTATGAAGCGCTTTGAGATAACGACGTGATAAGGGTTCATATCAAATGCGAGGAATACTATTATTACTATTGAATGGAAACCTGTTTGGATACTGGTGTTGGGTTTCCACATCTATCAGACATACAGATAACCCAAACAAAATCTTTTTGGACCATACGCATCATGGTGCACACACTGTGTGACTCTAGTCCTGAAGATATTACACCCTGATCTTAAATCTACACCTCTTATTTTAAAAAATCAAGTTAAGCACAACAGGTGAAAGGCACTATACAAATATAATCTTGTTGTTGCAAGTGATGAGAATTGTGATGTGCATTGATGGGTAGAGTCGAATGATTTGGATTCATGATGATGGAGGAGTGACATTGTCATGGGGTTGGAAAAATTATTTAACGCAACTCCAATGTCTATAAACTTGATAAATAAGGAAAATGAGGAATTTGCAACTGTAAATCATTCAGTTTCGCGGCTGGCAATGAATCTAGTCTCTGCAGGGTTGAAAAAATTGTTTTTTTAAATTTTTTTGGTTCACTTGTAAAGGATAACTTATTGTGTTTGCACTTCATAGACTACAGCACAACTCTTTTTCAGCCAATCCATTTTCAAGTTGATGGCCCATGTCCTGATTTAGTAATTTATGAATTTGATAGCCGCACTCAATAACACTTTTTTGTTGCCTTATCGTTGGAGCACTTGATGTATTGAACATAAGCGCTTGCTGATCAGTAAAACCGTCAGATGTGTCATATTTAAAGTCATGTTGCAATCATTTCAAACTGAATTTGGTGCCTGTAGTATTTTCTTTTGTACATGAGCAAGCTATCATGAAAAAATCAATTGACACATGGAAGTGTGAAGAGCAAGGATTCGATCAGCTGCTTTTATGTAATGTTGTAGTTTTTTTTATTTCTAAAACAGTTTTAAATCATTAAACACTTTGAGTGATTTTTAACTCTTCAAATATTCTTATTAAAATTTGTATCATCTGCAAAATGCACATGACTAGATTTTAAAAATTCTTCTGTGACGGGGCTCGATAGGTTTCCTCTGGCAGGTGGGTCGGTGACCAGAGGACATAGATTTAAGATAATTGGCAAAAGAACCAGAGGAGAGATGAGGAGAAATTTATTTACCCAGAGAGTTGTTACGATCTGGAATGCACTGCCCGGAAGCAAATTGGATAGCAGCATTCAAAAGGGAATTGGATAGGAACTTGAAAAGGAAAAAAATTACTCTATGGAATAAGAGTGGGGAAATAATAATAATAATAATCCTTGCATTTGATATAGCGCTTTTCACGTCGGGAGGACGTCCCAAAGCGCTTCACAGAACATACTGCAAAGTGAATTGACTGTATATTTGTGGGCGAACGCGGCAGCCAATTGCGCACAGCAATGTCCCACAAACAGTCGTAGATTGAAAATGACCAATTTTTAATTATTTTTTTTTTTTTTTTTTTTGGAGGGATTATTATTAGGCTCTGTGTGGAGTAAGGAAACTTGCCCAAGGTTTCGCCCTGACCTGCCTGGAATTGAACTCAGGTCTCTCACTTGCAAAGCGAGTGCTCTAACCACTGAGCTACAGGACTCCACAGATGTGACTGTAGCTCTTTCAAAGAGCTGGCATAGGCATGATGTGCCAAATGGCCTCCTTCTGTGCTGTAAGATTCTATGACGGGTCTTGACACACATGGTACTGTTTATGGCAGTAGATATTGTTCAATAATGATAAGCATTTTGACATTGGACCATTTAGCTCAGTGCTTGTTTGTGTGAATTCTGCCAAATTGTTTTTCATTTTTGAAATGCTTTGGAAAAATGTCAGGTGTTAATCTCATGGCAAGAGTAGATATAGCCATAAGTAATGGAACTTTTTTATAGATTTTTTTTGAGGGGGGTGTTCAAGGTTAATTGATGTGATTCCTATCAGCTCATCAATAGTACTTAATCTTCCCTCCCCTTCCCTCTCTGTTAACTCCCATCCTCTCCCCAAGATATTGATATCGGTCTTATCAAAATTCCTTTCACAATAAACTGAAAATCTTTAGACTAACATCTGCAAACTGAAAAACTATGAATCACTTGATCATCTAAATGATAAGCAACTGTCTGGTATGAAAAAAAGTTATTGGTTCACTTCCTTATGACGTCGTTTCCTGAATTGATGTGTGAAAAACGACTTTGCACAGTGTTCAAAGTACAGCCAGTAGTGGGGCAGAAATCTCTGATTTGTCCATTTCATCTGTTTTTGAGCGATGCAAAGAATAGGTGCTGTTTCTTTTTAAAAAAATCATGTAAAATTGCAAGGACGGTTATTAAATCTTGGGTTTTCTGATGATGGGTGAAAAGCAAACATAACTTTGGACTCCTGAAATTCAGTTACTGATGTTTAGGAGTCAGGTCTTGCGGTCTGTATATTTAATGTATCGAGTCTTGGTTACTGCTGAAGTTGTCTTGAATTGTTTCCTCTTTTTCAAATCAGCCCCTAAAATTAGGTTTGCAAATGATGCAGGAAATAAACCCAATGTACATGTTGGACTTGAACTCACCATGCAGTTGATTGTTTTTTGGCATCGTATGAATTCATTTCAAACTAAAATTTTTTATTGTACATTCCTGTGAATCCTTCATCATTTGTTTTGAGATAAATCACAAAATGGCACTTATCCGCCTTGTAATAATTTTCTGATTCACATTGTACGTAAATTCTTTCCATGTATTGATCTTTTGAATTTTTTACGCTCTTTCCTTCTGGCTTCCACAGGTGTGCAAGCTGTTGCTCTCTCATTGAGAATGTTATCTTTGAAACAAATCTCTTCTGCAACAAACTGATTCCAGTTGTGAAGCTTTAGTCATGTCATTGACTGAGTGGAACAAATGTATTGGTGTTTCTTTGCTGGACTTCTTTTTCTGTTAACATTTTAAAACTATTCTATGTACTGTAATAGGTTAAAAATTTATTCTGCAATTCAATACATGCATTATATTGTGGTATAGCGGTAAGCAGTTTTAGTGACCACTTTCGTATTGATGAAGACAAGAGGTTGGGAAAAAGAATAGATTCAGCACCACAATTGTGTTGTTGCCAGATTAGATTGGACTAAAGTGAATGTTCGTTGTTCCCAATAATGAAAGAAGTCACGAGTGTGGAAATTCTGCTATCGATTTTAAAGTATCTGGCATCTTTTTCAGCAGATAGTACAGCGTAATAGTAGTTCCTTCTCTGTAGAGATTCTCTCACATTGTAACATGAAAATCTGTATTCCTGCATATGGTAGTAAAGCGACTCCTAAAGAGTTTCTGTCAGATATTGGAGAGTAGCGGGTACAAAATGAAATGGACATCAAAGCATCATTAGTGGAATTTTCTTCGTATTTTCCTGACCCACAAATGCTCCATTTTCCTTTCCAATTATCCACCAAAGTTTAGCAAAAAAAAATTGGAAATGCTCCAGAAAAGGCAGCTTGCTTTCACCAGACTTTGCCCTCTGTATAAAAGGGAAGTGCACATTTATCAGATGTGAGCTCAGATAGGGTTGGGGTTAGGGAGTTCGGAAGCTGATAACACGCTACACCTGGTACAGGTTTGTTTCACAAAGCAGATAAGTAGATAACAATATTAGGGTGGGAGAGCTTCAATTTGTAATACTTCAATGTTTCCTAAAATTAGAAAGGCACATACGTCATTCATTTCTATTATTGCTGTTATAACCTATTGATAAAGGTTAAAAGCATTTCAATTTGTGTGATACTAATCATTTTGTTATCCTTCCATATTGATAATCCAAAAGTTAATGACGCAACAGAATGTGTATTTATGACCCGTATTGATTTGAAAATGTTAGTTATCACAGCGTTAATGTAAAGACAAATATGCCCTTTGGGCGATAATCTATAGAACTGTCATATGCAGGTAACCAGGTAATCTTATCAAAGATATCTGACGGTCATAAATGGAGAAAATTATCCTTTATCAAGTTGCTATGAATATATACACATTGTGACTGTTGTTAAGGCACACTACTAGTCAACATACTCAACATATTAAACACATAATTATAATACAGTATCTCAATTAGATGGCTTGTTACTTCTCTATTACATATAATTCCATCCCAGAAATCTGCCTGAATACTTTTTAAAAGCCATGTTTGTAAAGGACTCTAATTGAGGTAATCTTGAATTCCTGATTTTTTGGTGAGCTTTGTAATCAAGGTGAGGTGATGTTGGTGCTGGGTACTGGAATTGCTGTTAGTGGGATCTGTTATCTGCAGAGGAACTCCTGTTAGTTTTCCTTGATGCCTTTCCAATCCGAGATCAGAAAGCCACCATGTGTAGGTACAACTATTGGCACTTGTAACACAAGGCTTCAGTTCATTGCTTTGATAGACCATCTTTTCATTTCCGCCAATCTTTTTATTCCTACGGAAAATGCCAAATATTTAACATGAACTACTTAATATCTAAACAACTTGGCTTCACACTATTTTTGCAAAGTGCCTTTTTGTTTCTCCAAAGAGTGTTTATGCTTATCAGAGATTGTTGTTGGGTGGGTTGCCTGTTGGCCCATGATGACCGAACAAATATATTTTCCGTAATTTTATTTCTTTATTGTGTTAATCACTGATGTAATTGATTATCGTACTATTGAATTAGCCATGGAGAGATTGTGCACTCCTCGACAAGCAGGCAGAAACTTATCCACTGGATATGGAGGCACTAATCACCACATGGGGTTTCCAAAGACATTGGGTGTCTTTCTCAACTAAGTAAAGAATATATTTAACAGCATAATTGTTTCTGAGAGAGAGAGAGAGAGGAAGTGCAATGTTTCAAGACTTATTACTTTGCAAATTGATGCACAACACTTATCAAAGTCTATTCCTGTGCATTTTGTGATTGAAGCATCTGAGTTTAACAAGGTTTTTGAGGAGCCACTGGAGTCAAAGGCTGATGTGTGTATTTCTTTAAGAGTTAATTTGATAAATATATATACTTTTTTCTGTGTTAATCAAAATGATGGATGTTCCTGTTGAGAAATGAAAAACGTACTGCTTTGGGTGCCCTATGTCCACATTGAACATTAAGGTCAGGATAACTTGACCCAATTGAAGAGCAGAAATTCAGTCGAAGCTGTCCAGCAATGTTCTTTAACCCCAACCTCACAAGAGCACCTGCTGCTGCTGCATCAGCGCAACATTTGTGATTCCCGCAATCCATCATTTTTATGGCCTTTGAGCGAGATTGCTAATTTAGTGCCAATTATGTGCGGTTTTGTATTATGGATTCATGCCCATTCACCCATTAACAATAGGACCATGTTGCAATACATTGGGGCATCCAGTTTCAATATGTTTAATAATGTGCAGAACATTCTAAATACATATCGGCGTTTACCCTGTTTCAGCAATGAAGATGAACATGTTACTGATATCATGAGGTAGTTAATTAGTGTGTTAACAGCATTATCCACTTCATTGAGAGAGAGAGTGCCCTATTGAAGTAAATGTATTCATGCTAAAGTTTAGATTGTTTTATAATTGATAACTTAGGAATACCATTTATTATCCTGTAAACTTAGACAGAGGCCGCAGCAGTCACTCATATGAGCTTTTAAACAGACATTATTTGAGACTAGTACAAATGACCCAGTATCAAGACCCAGTGGCTTACAGTTATTGTTCCAATACAACAATTAGTTAATAACTTGCACATGTTCATGCATTCCACATCACATTTTGCTACAGAAATGAGTTCTGCTTCAAATTGCAGTGCTGTTGATGCAAGATCATCTTTAATCAGACAAATGAGAAACTAACCTATTTTGATCTAAAATCGGTGCTGTACAGATATTCCTCGTGCCATTAATATGCCACATATATTCGCTTACGTGCATTTGTGTCCAACAGCTGAGTCGTGATCTAGGGAACTGATGATTAAAATATCATTTTAGATGTTTTTTTATTCTTCATTCCAATGGCTTTCCTTGCCCTGTAGGTGCGAGTAGGGATCTTCCCCCTCTCCCCACCCCCCCTATAGGCACAGAGTGCGTTATAATGCTCTATTCTGGTTTCTGTTATGGCTGCTATTTCCCATTGATGAAGTGCTGACTGCTCTTTCTATCAGCAGAAAGTAGACCATTAGCCAAAAGCCTTTATATCACAAAAGGATTTGGTGTTTTTTGCCTGAAAAACTCTGAAAGTGACATGAATTCTAAACATTATTTAGAAATATTCTAGAGTACATATATATTATATATAACCAGTATTGTACTGCATTTAAACATATAAAATCTGATGCATGGTATTTATGATGTTGACCATTTATAACAAAATTGTTTCAAACCTGTTTTGAGTAACCAGCAATCTATTAATATTTTAGAGGCAACGGTACACGGATCGCCAGATCCTCCTGAAGGACCTGAAGTAAAGCAGTCAAAAGAGAACGAAGAGGAGCCAGCCCTGTGGATGATGCCAGGTAAAACCGTGGGATTGTGAGAACTTCAGCTTCAGTGAGAATGAGTCTTCTCACTAAGTATTTGAACGTTACAGAAAGTTTTTACTGCAAATAAAACTGAAACTACATCTGAAACTGGGTCAATAATGGACCTACATTGGGTTTTAAAACTCAGCTGTTCATAATAAAGGATTGGATTAGCCACATAGTCCTTGCTTTTTTAAAAAAAAATACAGGTGGCCTTTATGCCCTGTTCTATTTATGGTCAGATTATAACCAAAAAGGAATTAACCTCATCACTTGAGGCTTTGAACTGAAGAACTATAGTACCAAGTTTGCATTTGACAGTGGTTAATACATTTTTTTTTCAATTATACAAAAACTGTTTGGCAAAAAGCTTCCTCGTTGAGAGGGTTAATGTGCTAGATGGGTAGATGTAGTCAAAGATAATGAGTGGCACCAACACCGATGTGCTAAGCTCTCTGTGGCAGATACAGTATATAAGATCTGTCATACTGGTCTGAACATTGAAAACATGTTATTAAAAAGCCATTGGTTGAAGTACTATACTGAGAGCTCAAAGATTGGAAGTATTTTCAAGCAAGGGTTTGATTGGGAAAGACAGAATGGAGGTATAGCCATCAGTTTCGTCCATCATATCTAGTCATAACCTGTCATAACCGACCGTCCTTCGGATGAGACATTAAACCGAGGTCCTGACTGCCTGTTCAGGTTGATGTTAAAGATTCCATGACACGATTTGAAAAGAGAAGGGAGTTTCTCCCAGTGTCCTGGCCAAATTGGTCACTCACTCCATGGTCGTTGTGGGAGATTGTTGTGAGAAAACTGGCTGCCATGTTTCACCCACAATATACCCAGTCACTACCAGTATTTCCTGTGAAGTGCTTTGACATGTCTCAATGACGAGATAAAGCACTATATCAAACGCAAAGATTATTATTCTTTATTATAATTATTATAAGTTGTAATACAATCCAAGTGTGCTGTATCTTTATGCATTGACCAGGAAATGTCTTCACTTAAAAAAAAGTAAATTACAGTGTATTGAAAGCCTGGTCGTTGAAGCTGCACAGTGTTACATCTTATGTCGAGAGACCTTGGGTTTGAAATCCAAACCATGGCTGACATTTGAACTCAAATGATAGTCTCTGTAATGCTTTGAAGTGCTTTGTGGTGCTTCTGCATTCCATTATTTGGGTTTTATAAGGATCTGTGTGGATACTGCGATAAGAATGTCTCCTCTTTACTGGCCGAGTGATTTGGGAACTTGACGGTGGCTTTCGAGAGATGCACTTCTGACCATCCCAGTTACTTTGCTGGAAGGAATATACGTCTGTAAACAGCATAATCTTAGCTCCTAGAGGTCACTCTGCTCTGTTTCACTCACTGTAGCATGGGTTGTTAATGTGTACTCTGGACTATTCTACTCCATTTGCTAAGCCTGGTGAATTTGCTGCTATGTTGACTTAGAAATAGAGTACTTGCAAAACAAGTTAATTTAAAATATAACTTCATAATTTTAGAATTGCATTACAGTTATCTACAACCATACAGTGTGACATTGGTATATGGATCTGGATAACAGGTTATCAAAGGGTGTACTTTCTATATCGTTGTTGGAAGTCTTAAAAGAAATTATATTCACCTACAAATTTACATTCACTACATTTTACAGAAAATCTGAAGTGCTTTGAGACTTTGCAATACAAGGCACTATATCAAATGCAAGATTATTATTAATTATTAACAATAAAAGTTGTTAAGATTCTTTCTACCCCTCCACCCACACTACACCTCTGGTCAGAGCAGAAATTTTAAGATAGCCACAAGAACCCACCCTGCTAGTTCTCACTGATGTTTCAAGACAATCCAAAGCTGGTAATGTGTCTCTGACTGCTATTGCTACTCAGTGACAGGCTGTCACCAGATGTGATTCTGTACATTGTAAACGTGCCCATAGAGTGCAACTGAGAACTTGCAAAACCCACAAGGCTAGTTAACATTAAAGGGATGCTTGGGATAAGATCCTACTGTAAATTTATCCTTGAGTGGAAAAATACAGGCCTGTGCTCCATTTTAAAAGCAAATCATTTAAAAAGCTTGTATTTTTCAAACAAATATTTAAGGATAAGGTTTCAGTCGGGCCTTATCCTCGAATATTCCTTTAATGTCAATTGAACCTGTGATTTCCATTTGAGTCTCTTGTGTCCAAGTGCTATATACCCTTATTATATTCCTTCCCTTCCCTTCCCAACCCCCCACCCCAACAGGTATTTGAATTGATTATCTCGATGACTTTCTATTGTAAATGAAAAAACTTTGCCATTCTATCATGTAAAGCATTTGTTCATCACGAGTTACGTTCAAGGCATAGAGAAGGTATCTTGTTTTCTGAAAGCGTGATTAGTTACACAACAATTTTTCTCTCCCTCCCCCCAAAAGGAGCAGATGCTTATTAGCAAATATGATTCCAGCCTTCAGTTTATTTACTGAGGCTTATATCTTTTGAAGATTATGTTGTTGATAATCATTTCATTTTATCATGTTAATATAGCTGGGAAATAACACATGCCGAAGTTGGCAAGGAGTGTTTTAAATAATGTTTTGCACCAAGTAACTAAATTACTTTCTAGATCGCGTCCATCATAATCAGGCATAGGATGGTTTTTAATTCCTTTATTCTCTTCTTTGAATTAATTTGGATCAAAATAGTTGAAAAGTTGTTTAGTATGCTATTGTTTATACCAGATGAAAATAACTGTAGCGTTTTACAAAAATAATCCACACACATTTAAATAAAATTTGGTGCCTGAGATTATTGGTGAAACACGGTGTGTTACAGAGCAAGGGACTGATCATTTGTCTGATCGTTTTTTTTTATCGTTGCCCGAAGCATGTGAAAATGATGGCTGAATTGGCATTTAAAGTGTTGTCAAGCAATAGACAGTGTGTAACTCTCCACACCGTCTTTAACAAGTTAGTAACATTAATTATTGTAAAGTGGTAGAGTAAAATACTTGTTGAGCCAATTATTCTACAGTGGATCCAGTGACCTCTGGCTCCCAGCAATCACTGTACGGTTGATGCAACGGGATATTTCAGTCATAGGCTCAGAATCAATTCTGCTGTGGTTAATAAACTTGGAGGAAGCACTGAAGCAAGGCTTCATCACTGATTGCAACAGCTATCATCCTGGGGAAGACTAACTGGTTGGAAAGGGGGTGGGGCACATATTAACAGGATCAGATTATACCCTCAGGGAGAGTCAACAAGCCCTGTTCTGAACACAAACTTGACAGTTATTCATAAGCTTTGTCACACAGTCTGATGTGCGTGATTAGAATTGCTCCTCTTTCTGATTCTGTCAGCCCTGCCCAGAGACTTTTCCCGCGATTGATATACACACGTTTGGGGCAGTCCTGAATTGTCCATTATATCTGTACTCAAAATACGGTTAGCGGTTATAGTGGATCCATCATGTCAACAGGCCTTTCAGCCACAGTAGATTGCATCATATTCCCCACAGCTGGGCCAAGAGTGGTGGAATTCGCCAAGGGAATTTCTCCCGGTTTCCTGGCCAACAATCCCCGGAGAGAAAATTGTTCATTCCCATTGCGACTGTTTGTGGGACATTCATATGGTTGATGCATATTATTGTCATGTTGTTGTAAAGCATTAAAAAAATTCATAAAATTGCAATGTCATTTATTTTTGTGAAATTGGTTATGTTACATAATATTTAATTTTAGAATGAGCTGCTGACAATATGGGTGCAATTTCTCTTACTGTGACTTGCACAATACTTACTGTATGTAGTTGGAATGGAAAAAATTCTATTATTCCATTTTGGCCCCACAATTAGTGACTGAGGAGTATTTCACACTTTGAGGATTGCTCGGCCTTTGCTTAATTGCATTGTTGCCTTAAATGTGTTCAGGTTTTTAAAAATGCATATTTCTGAATATGTTTTAAATGCAATGTCTACCCTTTTTGATATAAATTGTATCAAATTGCTGCTGTTGTATCTATACCACTCCGAAATCCAAAGAATTGGAGGTTTTGTTTCTCTTATAAGTGTTGTGAATAAAACGGGTTTATTAATTAATTAACGGGCCACCTTCATTTTCGGCAATCATTTTACACTCTCGATTGAAACTACAACAAAATTCAAACTATTTCTCAACAGCCAGAATGCAATAAGAAGCACGACCGTAAAGCAATGTGCCAATGAAAGAATTCGAGTGTTTATTATTAAGATACTGTGTTGCAGAATCATATCACTATCTCGCAGCCTGCCATCGCAGCGGCAATTGTTGTGAATATTAATTGTTCTGTGGTCTGGAGCTGATGGGAGGATGATGATACATTGGATGATAGTGGGTATTTCAAACCTCTCCGCTGTGATAGACTGGCTATCAGCCATATTCCAGCCATTTCACTTATCAGCTAAAGGGATTTGGGAAGGAGTTGGTGTTTTTTGAGGTAACTGTCTCAGTGCCTGGAGTTGTGACTTGTGTTACCAGGAGATGGGAACGATAGGGACTGGACATTTCACTGACTAAATGTGCTGCCACCTGAAGTTCTTCAGGTCTGAACACTCATTATAATTTCAAATGATTTCAGAGCTCAGGTTTGCTTTCTGCATCTCTTTACAAATTAATTTGATCAGAAAATAATTTAAAAACTACTACTTTTGCATGATAATACGCCTATCACATTGAAATATCTTAAGCATTTTTGTACAGTGAGTTGCTTTGAACTGCAGCGATTGTTGTGAGGCAATCGCAACACCAACAATATTTCGCAAACAGCAAAAAAAAAAAAGCTAAATGAAAAAGTAATGTGTTTTTCAGTGAATTTGCACGAGGGGAATGTTCTTCTTCTTCTCTGTAAAGAACCTCCCTATCTGGCCCATTGTGTTTAGTCTCTAATAGCCACTACATGGGATACCGTTTTTTTAACAGCTTTCAAGTCTTTGCCCAAATTGATTTTGAATATTT